TTATTATCATAAAAACAAAAAGTTTTTTGAAAACGTCTGTTTTTTGGGTTGGCAAAAGGATCAGTGGAAAGAGTTTTATATATTATAAATTATAAAAATTGATAAAATTATTTTAATATATAGATTTGTTAAAAAAATTTTTATAAAGTAAAATTAAACAAAAAATTTTATAAAATAAAAAATTTATTAATTCTATAAAATTAATTTATATATCATAAGAAATTTTTAATAATAAAATAATTCAAAATTTATATATAAAAAAAGTTAATAAACTAATTAATAACAAACTTTATTATTATTATGATTAGAATTACAAAATTATTTATTAAAGTTTTACTTAAATTAAATAAATATTTGTTGAATTATAATAAAAATTATTAGTTCAAAGACTTTTGTACCATACTGTATATTAAAAAAAAATAATAATTAATTAAATTATAATACAATTATTTTTAAAATTTTGAAATCGAATAAATAATAAAATGGTTTATAATATATATATTAATTATAAATTTTTAAAATATATATATATTTACTGTATTATTAATTATACAGTACTTTGATCTAAATCACGAGATATTGCATATTAAAATCTTAATGCAGACTTGAGTAAATACAAAACTGCAACATCTCACATCAAGAATGTAAAGAATGTCAAATAAACTTGTTTTCATTGATAAGGACAATGAGCAACTTTCAGAAGAAAAAAAAGAACAACAATATGTTCACGACGTTTATCAGGCTATCGCACCACATTTTAGTCAGACTAGATACAAGGTTTGTTCTGTAGAAGGATAATACTTTGTAATTGGAACAATTTTAAAAGTAATCTTTAATTTTTCATCGGTTAACGAAGCCCTGGCCTGTTGTTGAACAATTTCTTAAAGAATTGGATGTGGGAAGCATAGGTGCGGATATTGGATGTGGGAATGGTAAATACTTGGGTGTCAATAAGAATGTGTACATGATTGGATCAGATCGGTAATTATCCAAACAAAGTTGAACCTTTTTAATAAGTTGTAAAATCATTATTGTCTCTAAAATAGGAGTTCCAACCTAATTGAAATAAGCGCATCAAGAGGATTTGAGAGCGTAGTTGGTGACGCCTTAAAATTGCCATATCGCAGCGAATGTTTTGTATCCTTTTGTTTATACGATGAATGTTCACTACAATGTTTCAAAAAATGATATGTATGATGATTATATCAAACATCAATTTGTTTCGATAAAACAGGATTTTGTGATTTCCATTGCGGTGATTCATCATTTCACAACACCAGAAAGAAGAATTGCAGCAATCGAGGTTCGGGCAACTTCCAGGACAATGTTTATCGTGTGAGAGTATTAAATCAATTAACTGATCATTGTCTTAAGGAACTTTTCCGGATCGCGAAGCAGAGATCATACGTTCTCATATATGTTTGGGCACTAGAACAGGGCGAAGCGCGCCGTAAATTTGACAAAGAGCATCAAGATGTATTAGTTCCGTGGGTCGTTCCAGCATCAAAAAACGATCCGAATAGAAAAGAAGAGTCTGTTTATAATCGGTAAACGTATTCCTCTTCCGCATTTTAAAACTTTTTATATTTCAAGTTCTGATGTGCGATGCTCTTTGAATATAACATCATTGCGTTGAAAACAGCTATTATCACTTATTTAAAAAAGGAGAATTAGATAGCCTTATTCTAAATACTGGAAAGGCGCAGATAATCAAGTCTGATTATGATAAAGACAATTGGTATGTTATTGCAAGAAAGAAACCAAACGATAACCAAAATTAATAAGATTCTTCGAAAAAAATTGATAATAATAATATATAATGTTAAGACTGTGTGACGAATAAATTGTATATTACAGATTGACTGAACCAAAAGAATAAGAGATTAGTTACAATTTTTTGGTGAATTAGTATAAAACTACATTTTTACAAATTACCTATGAAAAAACCTTATAGAACATCTTGTTGTTTATTGAAGACGCCATGTCTCAGTTGCGCTTATAATTGCACCTTACCACTATTCGACTCAATTATCAATCTCCCTTAAGAACTATATTAGGATCAACTTTGACCTTACGCATAAACATATCATACCAGTCCTGGAATACTTTTATAGATATAAATGCATTGCCCGTTCCGATAATCTGTGCATTGAAAGGTGTCGAAGAAGTTGCAAATGATGTAACGTAGTTGTAAAGATTTTTTAATATATTGAGTGATATTTGGCTGGTAGCTTCTGGGTTGGTGCTTGACTGTTGATTTGTTTGACGAAAATTTGCTATTTGAGATTCAACCATAGCAATTTGTTCGATAGAAATACCCACTGTGGCAGTTATTGGGCCTGTGGTTGATGCATCATTAACGTCCATTGACATTTCATCATTATAACTTGTTAAAAGTTTTGTTGATCCAAATGAAAATCCACTCGAAGTTCTCGGGATAACCGTTCCACGAAGACGGAAAATTGCGCTCGGCTTATCATTGGAAAGCCTACAATATGAAAGAATATTTTATATATATTTAAGGCGATGATACGTAAAATATGATACTCAATTCTTACATTCCCAACAGTTTCCATCCTTGTTCTTCTCCTGGCCAAAGGAAATGAACAGTGGCAGCAAAGCCAGGCTCAAATGGGATCGTACCAAGCAGAAAAACCACTATGTGATTTATAGTCGTGGCGTCAGGAATCTCAAAAATATATTTGTTAACATCAACTTGTTGGAGGTTGGTTTGAATCTGTCACGAAGTTAATAAGTGAATTCGGAAAAATTAAAGTTTTGTAAGAACATGAAGTTATCAGGCGTTAACAGAAACAGACACTGGACTCTATTATTATAAATTCTAGAACATACTAACCAACCTTCCTGCTACAATGCAACCAAACATTATATCTTTAAATAAATTAACTATAACATCCAAATTCGTGTTTCATGAGAAAGAATATTTTTCCAGACATCCGGATCATGTGAAAAATTCACTTGATTTAGTTTTTGTTTTTTAACAATCAAATCCATTTTAAATCAATAAGTTAATTATTTTTATTTATTGCTTAATAGAAATATATTTCAAGAAAATTGATCATTATTATTTGAAATACAGTATACAATATTTTTTAAATTAGTTTATATTTATATTTTTATTAACTTTAATTTAAAGTCTTAAATAATACTATATATATTAAAATAATATTAAAGTATTAAAACATAATATTTAATATATATTTTTTTAATATTAAGTAAAAAACAATATAATATTTAATATATATATAATGAATTCTTTTTAAATGCACACTTCTTGGAATTATAGAAAATTTTTGAAAAATATGTATTTATAAAAAGTATACATTTATAAAAGTAATTTTATTAAGAGTTTTATGTACTTGAAACCAAGCTTGACTATATATTTAAAGAGAAAAAATATAATAAGTATATTTATAAAGAATATATATATATATATATATATATATTGAGTAGGTAAATATCATTTCTTTATTTATTTGTATATTACAAGGTATACATTTAGAAAGAAACAACATCTCTTATGTGCAATTAGCAGCAAGTTTAATACTAGCCTGCCTACAGTAATCATTTAACTTCTACTAGAAAAGATATTTTAAAACTAGTATACTAATCAAATGATGCTGAGCAGCTATGTATGCCTACTCAGAATTATTTTGAAAAAGAAAAATGAAATTAACTATAGCTAGAACTACATTAAGTAAACTATAATCTATAGGTAAGAAATTACTATTTCCTCTCAGAAGCCCCAGACAGGCTCGTTGTTCTATCTCTCTGGTTTATCGATTACTATAAATAATAGAGTATACGTGATGTTGTTTGTTGTTATAGTTGTTGGTAGTGT